GCTAGAGTGCTGCCGGTTGGTCCAGTAGTGCCGTGGAGCGGCGCTGTGGGACCAACCCGGCAGCACCCCAGATGCTCTGCCCCAGGCGTCCCCAAGAGCAGCTGGGGTGCTGCCCGGTTGGTCTCGCCGCGCCAAGGGTCGGTGCTACTGGACCAACCAGGCAGCACTCCAGCTGCTCTGCTGAAGGCATCCCGGATTCAGCTGCTGCTGAAACGGACCAGCAGCAGCTGAATCAGGGATGCTTGGGGCAGAGCTGGACTATCGGAAGGGGGGGCTATGAGGGGTCTGGGGTGGCATCCCCCCCTTCCGATAGTCCGGCATATCTGATAATCCAGCACCTCCTGGGTCCTAAAGGTGCCGGATCATCGGAAGTTTACTGTACTTAGATTTTTTTGAATTGATAGCAAACATAAACTAAGACCTTTACATGGAGTAGCACCTTACATCACATTCACCAAAATAAATAAAGTGCTGGACAGCACATCTTCTTTTTCCTGAATTAAATTCTATCTTGTGGGTGGACTGGTATAAACATCCATCATCCAGCTGTCCCAAAGTGGGACAATTAGGAGGGTAAAGCAGGAGGAAGAAGGAAAGAAATCAAAGCTATGAAAGATGAAGAAAAAAAAAGATAGAAAGACAAACAAAAATATAAACGAATAAATAACAAACTAACCTATCAAAATAGGGAGCAGGTGATCAGATTATCCCTTTGTGGGAATGCTTGGTTTCTCTTAATTGATATACAACATTTGAAGCCCACAGTAGTTGATGCCTTAAGCCAGGTCTACACTAGACCCAGTAGGTCGGCTTAAGGTATGCAACTCAAGCTACATAGACTATGTAGGTGGACTGGGCTTAACTTAAGCCAGGGGTGAGGAACCTCACGTCCAGGGGCTGCATTTGATCCCCAGCTCGCCTGGATCATCCCCTGAGGCTCAACCTCCCTCCTCCCCTCCACTGGGGAGGCCATACTGATGCGCCCACACCCTCCGCCCCGCTGCCCCACTATGGGGCTAGGGCACACAAAATCTACTAGGCTGGGGCCTTCTAGGCTCTAGTGTGCGAGGAGAATGTGAGGAGTGTCTTTTTTCTTCTTAGTCAGGCACCTTCTCAATTGTGTGTGACTCCTGACTGATTTTTCTGTGGGTTCTCCACTGTCTTAAGCTGAGCATGATGGCATCCCCACAGCAGGAGGCCAATGGGAGTAAACACTCCTGTTGGCTTCTCTTACTCCTCACAAAAGCAGGAATACTGGATGCCAGCGGAAATGTCCTCTGAGTTTGCTTTAGCGAGTCTTAACTAGACTTGCTAAATTGAACTCCAAAAAAACAATTGCGACAGCATCGATCTTCTGCAGAGTGAACACAAGACCTTAGTTGTCTTTGAGTCAGCTTGATTACATACCATTGAGAATGCTGTTCTTTTATTAAGAATTAAACTCATAATCATATTGAACTTTTAGCTGCATTTTTTAAAAAACAACTGAATACTATCATGAAAGGACTTGTCATTTCTAAAGCAAGTCAGTGAATTAGAACACAAGTAGAGGCATGGTAGACAACTTCTAGCCCTTAATTCTAGTCTAAACAGATCCATGAACAAGATATTATTTAATTTTACTGCACTAGGAAATCCGCTGTACCATAAGAGGGGAAACAGAAGGTACATACATTTGATTTTAAATCACAAAGGATCCAAGCTATCTCTGGATCAAGAACTGAAACTGGTAACAATTATAACAATATCTTTGTTAAACAAACTCAGCAGGAGTTTTGGTTTGGTTTCAAGTTTGTAGCAGGTCAGAGGAGAAATGATGAAGAGAAGAGAGTAAAACATTAAAATTTCTTGGACAAAGCGATGAAATTGCTCAACTGATATAGTTGGCCAAATCTATAGCATGAAGTAAATTGACATAAATTACATCAATTTTCACCCACTGAAGATCAGGACATTCTGTTTTCCTCAGATCATATTTGAAAAATTAATTAGTCAGAATGTTTTCCCCATCACTGCTGTTGTGGTAGAAGGTGCTGCTATGTAATAATGTGTGAATACTATAACCAGGTTATTGTGGTGTTTACTGTACAACTGTAATGCTTAACTGGCTGTTGGGAAAACAAGCAGTAATGGAAAAATGACTTGAAAGAGACATTTATCTGCAAGGGTATGTCTACACTACCACCCTAGTTCGAACTAGGGTGGTTAATGTAGGCAACCGGAGTTGCAAATGAAGCCCGGGCTTCGAATTTCCCGGGCTTCATTTGCATATTGCCGGGTGCCGCCATTTTTAAATGTCCGCTAGTTCGGACTCAATGCCCGCGGCTACACGCGGCACGAATTAGGTAGTTCGGATTAGGCTTCCTATTCCGAACTACCGTTACTCCTCATGGAACGAGGTGTACCGGTAGTTCGGAATAGGAAGCCTAATCCGAACTACCTAGATCGAGCCGCGTGTAGCCGCGGGCACAGAGTCCAAACTAGCGGACATTTAAAAATGGCGGCACCCGGCAATATGCAAATGAAGCCCGGGAAATTCGAAGCCCGGGCTTCATTTGCAACTCCGGTTGCCTACATTACCCTCCTAGTTCGAACTAGGGTGGTAGTGTAGACATACCCCAAGGGACAAAACAAGAGCCATTTGCTTTGCTGTTCTATCTCTGATCCCTTGGGATATGTCTACACAGCTGTGGATCGAAATGTAACGGATTCGCTATTCCGACATCCCCATAAACCTCATTATACGAGGGATAAGGTACATTTCAGAATAGCAACTTCTTTTGAAATAACATTGAAATAAGCCATGCAATTTATGCAGCGCAAATCACGTAGCTGATTTCAAGGTAAGGGTAGTGGGTAGATGCACCCTAACACAGTTAAAGTAGAAGCAGTTATTCCATCTGTGGACAGGGAGTGGTGCCACAAGATAAAGGAGCAGCAGCCAAATGGCCATTAAAGCTTTGCAAGTGAGAACATATGAACATGTCATAATAGCCACACATATGTAAATTGACATAACTCCACTGACTTAAATAACTTTATGGGAAAATTTACAAATATGCTCTTTTATTGTTAACTCTAGACATACAGCTGTAATAGCTTCAAGTTGCTGGCTTCAGAGTTACAGGGTGTGGAATGGGTTGGTTTACTGGAGTTTATAGTGCCTGTGATGGATATTGAAATTCTGTGCAGTAGCTTCAGGGACCACTGTAGTATATTTATGAATTATTTACATGTGACCATATTCTACTCCATGGAAGTTATCACAACTCCTCCAGAAATTGAAAATATGGAGGGGTGTTTACCATAGGGATTCCAGAGAAGCACAGCCCTTTGGAGTGTTTAATCAGTGATTCTCAATCAGGGAGCCAAGGCTCTTGGGGAGGCTGTAAGCAAGTTTCAGGGACTGCAAAGCAAGGCCAGCATTAGCTTCACTGGGGCCCAGAGTGGGAAACCAAAACCTTGTCGCATGGGGGTGAAACCTAGAGTCCCAAGCCCTGCCACCACAGGCTGAAACTGAAGCCTAAACAATGTAGCTTTGTAGGGGTACCTATGGCATGAGGCCCCAGGCAATTGCCCTGTATGCTACCCCTTAACACCAGCCCTGTCTTTTATATGCAGAAAACCAATTATCGTAGCACAGGTAGACCGTGGCATTTTTATAGAAGGGGGGGATTAAAAAGTTGAGAAATCCTGGTTTATGTATACTTGTTTAGACTTGGTTTTCCAAAATTAGAAAACAGCAACTACAAAGACTTTAGGTATAAAAGAATGACCTGGAATAGACTTGTGGTCTTCCTTTTGATTCAGCAGAGAGGACCTTGGGTCCTAAGTGGATCTCAGCTCTAAAGAGCTTGAAGGGGTGTTGGCCTTCCAGATTCACCAGCTGGAAGTTGAGTAATTTGTTTAAAAGTCAAGAACGTTTTATTGTTTTATGTTTTCTCTGAAATGCTTTTGTCCTATGAACAAACATAGTTTGCTTTGGAAGAGTTGTGTGGTAACTTGTAATGGTTGATCCACACTGGTCATTGTTCTCAGAGAAAACACAACCCAGAAGCTGGTCATTAGCAGATTGGCTTGCTGTGTGGCATTGTGTATGGTACAGTGTATGGTAGGGGGCTGTGCAGCCCTTAAACCCTAGTCAGAAAGAACTGGGACATAGGTTCCTGCCCAGCAAAATGTTGGAGACTTGAGACCTGACAAGGCACTCCTTGAGGAGGAAACCTTCTGGCTGTGTCTAGACTTCCCTTATTTTAAGAGGAATAAGGGATCTTTCAGAAAAGGCTTTATTTTCGAAAAGATCAGCGTCTAGACTGGCGCTTTTTTCCGGCAAAGCTCCGAGACGGAAAAAAGCAGCAGCCATGTTTATGCAAATGAAGCAGGGGGGATTTAAATCCCCGCTTCATTTGCAATTGAGATATCTAATTTGCATCCCTTTTACGGAAAAGGGATGCAGTCTAGACACAGCCGGGGGCTGTGTCTACACTGGCCACTTATTCCGGAGAATCAGCCGCTTTTCCGGAATAACTTGCCAGCTGTCTACACTGGCCCCTTGAATTTCCGGAAATGCACTGACGATCTACTGTAAAATCATCAGTGCTTTTCCAGAAAAACTATGCTGCTCCTGTTCAGGCAAAAGTCCTTTTCCGGAAAACTGTTCTGGAAAAGGGCCAGTGTAGACAGCACAGATTTCTTTTTCACAAAAAAGCCCCGATCGCGAAAATGATGATCGGGGCTTTTTTGCGGAAAAGCGCGTCTACATTGGCACGGACGCTTTTCCGGAAAAAGTGCTTTTCCGGAAAAGCATCCTGCCAATGTAGACATGCTTTTTCCAGAAATACTTATAACGGAAAACTTTTCCGTTTTAAGCATTTCCGGAAAAGGGTGCCAGCGTAGACGTAGCCTAGGTCTGTAGGAGAATTCTCCACTCAACTGGACTATCAGTTCTCAAGGAGATGGAGTACCTACACTGACTGGAAAAACTTTCCCATGTGTGTAAATAGCATCTACAATGAAGCCATGCATCATTTTAAGTGTAGACAAACCCTGTCAAGGTTTATATCTACAAGTAGATGCTCTTCAACTCTAGTCTCCTTCTCCTGGATGAATAAAGTGCTGTCAATGGACGTGGTGCTCTGAGCTGTTGTGGCTACAGGGGAGAGGAGTTAGGCACAGATACCAAGGTTGGTGATAGGATCATGGGCAGCAGGGAGACTAGCCCCTTGCTCTGCTCAGACCCTTGCTGAACAGGGGATAAAACAAGATTAAAGTTGAAAAAACAGCAGGAAACTTTAAACAAGATGGACATAATGAAGATGGAGACGGTTTTCTGCGACTGGAGGTAAAGCAGCAGCCATGCAGGCTGTAGAGTGGAGCTGGAACAGGGACTGCGCTGGGTTGACGCTGGTGGACTGAGCCTCATTTACACCTATCGCGCCCCTAGATGCAGCATCTTCAGTCCTCCCCCCCCCTTCCTGTTTTCTGCGGAAATGAAACTTTTCACCCACTTTTAACTTTCAGGCACCCCCAGACCCGAGCCTCCTGTGCCCCACTGGGAATCGGGCCCTGCGCGTGGAAATTCGCGGGACTGCGCTGGGTTGACGCTGGTGGACTGAGCCTCATTTACACCTATCGCGCCCCTAGATGCAGCATCTTCAGTCCTCCCCCCCCCTTCCTGTTTTCTGCGGAAATGAAACTTTTCACCCACTTTTAACTTTCAGGCACCCCCAGACCCGAGCCTCCTGTGCCCCACTGGGAATCGGGCCCTGCGCGTGGAAATTCGCTCGGCGCTGCGAGCGCAGAGACCGCGAACCAACCTACCCAGCAGCCGCCTAAACCGGAGTCAATGAACCCAGCCCCGCAGCCCCAGACTGCACCGCGACTCGTGGCCACGACTACAACTCCCAGCGGCCCCTGGGTCAGCAGGTCCCAAGCGCCCTGGTGCACGAAAGGTCACCGCACCGTCACTTCCTGTAAGCGAGGCAGGCCGGGAATGCGAGTCGCGATTGGCCGGCGCCCGCCCCGCTTTTTCGGCGAGCTAGGGAGCAGGAAGCGACAGAGCCGGCGAGACTGGGCCAGGGGCTCCTCGCGGTGAGTACCCAGCGGAACAGCCATCCCCCTTCGGGGCGCGCGCGTCTCCGGGTGCGACCCCCGGCCCGGAGGGGGATTGAAAAGGGATCATTTAATGCGCGCTTTGATGACGTAATAACGACTACAGGGCCCGAGGTGCCGCCAGCTACCGGGCTCGCTGCCGCGCCCAGTCCCCACTCGTGGCAGCCCGGCAGCCCGTGGTTCTTTCGCCCAGCTATCCGCGACTCGCGGGCGCTCCGCACTGCCTAGGCCTTCCGCCTTCCCCAGCCTCTGGCCCTTGGCAAGCGCCTATTGGCTCCCTCCTCCTCCGTGTGTCGCTCCTTCCCTGCGATTGGCTGGAGTATATTTGATTGGCACCAAGACTTGCCCATTGAAGTTGGGCATTGAAGTCATGTGACCACTGCGTGGCTCTGGCGCTGCGGTTCGAACGTCTCTGAGAGCTCCGTTCTTTGGGCAGGAGGCAGGGGCACTGTGCTCCCTTGTTGGTGCGGGAAAGCCCGACCCCACATCGGGCTGCTGCGTGGTGGGCCGAGATGTGTCCTGCCCCGCTGTGCTCCATCCCCTTGGGGAGTCACAAGGCAGAGGGCTTGTGGCATGTTCTGGATCCGCTCGCCGTGCTGCATTCCTCCTAAACGCACAACAGGGTGGGGACCTAACACAGCCCTGCTCGCCTCATGCTGCACTCACAGTTGGACAGAATGGGTCATCTTCTGCCTCTCTGGTCCATTCTAGGGATGTGAACTAATGATTAATTTACTAGGCCAGTAGTCAATGGAATTTCCATTGACTATTCATCTAGTCCATAGGGGACTCTTGTATATTTCAAAGCTGGCACTCTGCACAGAGAACAGAGCCTGTTGCTTTGAAATGCCAGGGGAAGCCCAGGATCAGCTGACCCCATACTCCCTGCAGCATTGCCTCTTTGAAGTACTCCTCCTCTTCTTCCCCCTTATCTATTAGATAGAGGCAGTAAGGGGTGAGGAATCGGATAAGCACTTGCTTATTGGAAGGTTGATTAGTCCTTAACAACCCTATTCCATCTCCACTGCAAGGGGACAACACAAAAGGAAAAGCTGTGAACAACCTCCTCTCTCATCCAGCTCCTTCATGCGGGGGTATGATGTAGAATGAGAATGACCTCCCCCGTCCATCTGATGGCAGATGATGGTGCAGAGAAAAATGTACTAGCTACTGCCTTGCCCCACTTTACCTCTGAGGGGGAGGCTTAGGAAGGTGGTGCATATCATGGAAACCAAGGGATATTTTGCTTTGGAAGAAGGCACTATCGAAGTTTATCAAGTATTCTTAATACTAAAATACCAACCTAGAGTGTGCACACACATTCAGTCTCTAGAGGTGTATCCATGCATCTGACTGGTTTTTACCCACAAAAGCTTATGCCCAAATAAATCTGTTAATCTGCAAGCTGCCACAGGACTTTTCTTTTTTCTTTCTCTCCCCCCCCCATAGAATGAGGATATAACTTGTCTAATCCTGCCCAATGCTCCTGCGCATCCAGAAATATAATCTACGCTATCATGTGCCGAAAGTGTCCGTCTGCTATGTACATTGGACAAACATCTCAGACACTTCGCCAAAGGATTAATGCCCACAAAACAGATATCAGACAAGATCACAAAGAGAAAACAGTTTCTTGCCACTTTAACCAGAAAGGACACTCTCTAAATGACTTAGCCACCTGCATTCTGCTACAAAGACCTTTTACATCTGCACTTGAAAGGGAATCCTCTGAACTGTCATTCATGTTAAAATTCGACACTTACCAACAAGGACTTAACAAGTCTTTGAACTTTCTCACCCATTACCAAGACAGTTTCCCCAATTATCACCTGTAATACCATTAACTCACAAACATCCCACTCTCCCTACCTTTAATATCAGCAATTCACAGACACTTACCTTCCTTCCTCCCCCTTCCCACCCCCCCGCATCCCCCTTCTGTTCTGCAATGTGATTTGTCCTTTTCATATTTGTTCATTTTTTTTAAATTGTATCCTTTGGTATATATGGTTGTGACTACTTTCTTCCACTATTTGATCTGAGGAAGTGGATCTGGCCCACGAAAGCTCATCATCTAATAAACCATCTTGTTAGTCTTTAAAGTGCTACATTGTCCTGCATTTTGCGTAGACGAGACTGTAATGCGTTGTCCTCTGCCATATGCTTTTTTGAGGGGTTGCAGGAGAGAATATGGCCTTGCATATGATTATGCTTGGCCTGCCTCCTGTCTTCTGGAATTGAGCCCACTGTGATAGGATGAGGATGGCATAGTGAGCTCAGAGTCTTGGGCTGCGACTAGACTGGCAAGTTTTTGTGCAAAAGCAACTGCTTTTGCGCAAAAACTTGCCAGCTGTCTAGACTGGCTGCTTGATTTTGCGCAAAAGCATTGATGTTCTACTGTCCGAAATCAGTGCTTCCTGCGCAAATGCTTTGACGTTCCCATTCGGGCAAAAGCCCTTTTCCAGAAATGTTTTTGTGCAAGAGGGCCAGTGTAGACAGCTAAAAACTGTTTTGCGCAAAAAAGCCCCGATGGCGATTGGGGCTTTCTTGCGCAAAACTGCATCTAGATTGGCATGGACGATTTTCCGCAAAAGCACTTTTTGCAGAAAAGCGTCCGTGCCAATCTAGATGCTCTTTTACGCAAATGCTTTTAACGGAAAAACTTTTCCGTTAAAAGCATTTGCGGAAAATCATGCCAGTCTAGACATAGCCTTGGTGTTTAATGTGAGCATATGTTCACATAAAGCTGAAGATGGCTGTAATAAATGATTATAGGTTAGCTTGAAGTGGTTCTTTGCCATTGTGTCAACATCACTGCGCAATTTGGTGCAATGCTCTTCTTTTGGAAGAAACATTTGTAATTCTCATTAATTTATCAGTGTAAGATTTGTTTTTTTTTCTTTTTGATTAGCATACAGCTCTTAGTGAGTAACAGTAGTTCAGACAGATCTGCTATTAAAAAATATGTTATTATTGGCTACTTGGCTAATGCTGCTTGTGCATCCTGGCTTTTGAGCTAATAGATAGCTTCTACATAATAGCTACATTTTATTCATTGATCACAAAATGATTTATTTTGCCATCATTACTTCTGTGACTTTTAGCAATTTCTATCTATATTTATTTATAGATCTAGACTCTGAGTTTCAACACACAGTATTTCTTCCAATGATGCTCGTCTTCTGTCTTTCAGGTTAAGAGATTCATTCTTTTAGTTTATTTACAATTTTCCATTTTAGCATATAAATTAGGGATGTAAAAGGTTAACCAAGTATATCTGGTTAACCGGTGGGGGTTGGAGCAGCTCCCTGCCTGCCACAGACAGGGGCTACTCCCTTCGATAGTGGGACTCTTCTTGGGAATTCATTTTATACAGAAAGCCAGGAGTTAGGTGCAGGGACTTATTCCAGATTTCTTCACTTCTGTGTACCACAGAATTCTGCTTAAAGAGAACCTTAAAGGGAGATTGCTACCAAATTTGCAGTCCATATTGATCAATTTCACAAACAATAAATTTCACGAATTGAGCTATTTAATTACAACACTGAAATTTCAGGTGTATAGAGGACCTGGCCCAAAAAGGAGTTGGGGGCGTATTGTGGTTCTGCTACCCTTACTTCTGCGCTGCTGCAGATGCAGTCCTGCCTTCAGAGCTTGGTAGTTGGAGAGTAGTGGCTGCTGGCTGGGAGCCCAACTATCAGCATCAGTGCAGAAATAAGGATGGCATGGTATGGTATTGTCACTGTTACTTCTGCACTGCTTCCTGCAGAACTGGGTCTTCAGTCAGCAGCCACCACGCTCTGGCAGCACAGTTCTAAAGGTAACAGCTCAGGAAAAAAGATGGCATGGTATGATATTGCTAACTTTACTTCTGCACTCCTGGTGTCGGGACACTGCCTTCACAGCTGGGTGCCTGGCTAGCAGCTATTGTCTTCAGGCTACCCAGCTCTGAAGGCAGTGCGGAAGCCCTTTTGGGTCAGGCCTCAATATGAGAAATTCTATTTCCTCCATCCCCCATGAAATCAGTATAGTATAGAGTAAAAGCACAGAAAGATTTCACAGGGGGAGACCAGATTTGTGTTTCATGGCTTTAAATTTGGTAGGGCCCTAGTTATTATCACATTTCTCTAGTAAATGGCCCCTTTTTAAACACTGAATTTAATTAAAGCAATTAAGCTCATTAATTCATGTTTGTATGGCACACTGAAGATGTAAAACAGGGTGGCCAATTTCAGGATTCAGAAATTGTATGGAGGGCCAGGTTGTGACCTGCCCCCTATCCAGCTCCCCACCCCTAACTGCTGCCCTGGACCCCATGCCTCCTATTCAATCTCCACTTCTCCCTGTCTGCTGACTGCCCCCAGCACCCTAATCCCTGCCCCCTAAGGAACTCCTCCCCTTTGCTGACCACCCCAGAAAATACCCGTTTCCTATCCAAACCCTCTTGCTCCCTCCCCTGACTACATCACCCAGAGAACTGGGGCATGCAGAGCTGCAGCCATGCTCTCTGGCCCAGAGCATCCGGGTTGGTGGTAAGGATGTTAAGTATCATGTAAATGACTAATCAAATAGTTGATGCATTTTTGCACGGACTATTCGATTAGTCGATAGTGTGGTGATGCCCCTTTGAAACACCTTGGTGGCATTTCAAAGTGGCAGTGCTGCACGGAGCAGCTGACCCCAGGCTCCATGCAGCGCTGCTGATTTGAAGTATCCCCCTCTTCTCACTCCTCTTCTCCCCGCCTTGCTGCGTTTATCTGATAGAGGCAGCAAGGACGGGGGAAGTGACTAGACAACTATCCTGTTGACTAGTCCTTAACATCCCTAGTTGGTGGCATGGCAAGCTGATACTGTGAGGGAGGGGTGAACAGAATGTGAGGGGCCACGTAGGAGCTTGAAGGCTGGACAGAACATTCCGGCAAGCCAGATATGGCTCTTGAGTACTGCAATATTCTTACTTCATTAATAATCTTTTGTAGTCTATTCACTATGGAAGCTGAAGAAACGATGGAATGCATTCAGGAGTTCCCAGAACATTATAAAGTTATTCTGGACAGACTGAATGAACAGCGTGAACAGGATCAGTTTACGGACATCACTCTGATTGTAGATGGTATGTATTATCATACTGGATCTGCTGATACACAAATGCTATGGAATTTTTCATTTTGATTGCCATAGATCAGACCTGTTGAAAATAAAACATTAATGTATTGTATTCTCAATCTGGGCAGAACACATGCTAATGTTTTTTAGTTTTATACAGAAGTACTACAAATTACAAGTAGACTTTCACCCTGAATGATGTAGAAGATGGAACTTTTCCCTAGTTTTCAGATGCTATGGTGAAATAATCAGCAGTACTGAATAATATTAAGGTTTGTTTACTAGTGTTCATAGCAAAACAGAAATTGAAAATTGCATTTCCAAAAGCTTTGTCTGAATCAGCTTGGCAGGAGGATTGATGCTCACCAACAACAGATGTAGATAAAAGGGAGGAAATACCAAAGATCTTCTGACTCATTTCCCTTCTTAAAAAGGAAGGTCTGATTGAACTTAGTTCTTTTCCTGTCCTTACCAGGTGGAGATAATTCTGTTACCAGAGAACTAAGCTTTTATTTTGTTGTTTTTTTTCTACCATCTTTCTTTTGATGAATTTCCTTCTTGTAAGCCAATCCTTTTCTATCAGGATTAGTGCTTTACTGTGAAGTATGCATTTGGGTGGAATCTTTTTTTCTCCTTTTCACTTGCCCGAGTGCTCGGAGGGGAGGAGACTCTGCCTAGCTTTGGTTTGTTTTAGCCTCTTTGGCTATGTCTACACAGCAACATTATTTTGAAATAACACTAGTTTACACAGCCGGCAATTATTTTGACATAATTATTTCAACATAATTATTTCTTACTCTGACTCATGTAACCCTCATTTTATGTGTAGTAAGGGAATTTGGAGGAAGAGTGCTCTCTTTTGAAATAAGTGCTGTGTAGACAACACCAAAACTCGAAATAAGCAATTTTGAAATAAGTTACTCAATTGACGTAGCTCAATTTGCGTAGCTTATTTTGAGTTATGCCCTGCTGTGTAGTTTTGCCCTTAGTTAGCATGCCCAAATGGTCCCACACGTAAACAATCCTTTAACCATCTTGTCTGGTCATTGAAATCTTCTCCTCTTTACATGAAAAAATCTGGAGGTCTGGCTTTGGAAGAACGTATTTCCTAATAGTTGTTAAAGGTTCTGTTGAGGAGGGGGTTGTGTATGTTTGTTGGGCTTCTCATGCCCTGGATCTGGCAAACTGTTGCATAACTCAGCCTGAGGGGAAGCAGTTAAACATGCTGAATGTTGTATGGATCAGTAAATGCCCAGAAAAATGTCTGCAGCAGTGTGTCGTGCTACAAAAGGCATGCTCAGACTGCACTCTGTTACATACAGAATTCTGCAGCTTCCTTCATTCTGAACCCATTAGAGTCTACTATTAATGAATGTATGTTGATTTAAAACATTAGATTGTATCTCTTTCATTTTTAGGTCACCATTTCAAAGCTCATAAGGCTGTCCTTGCTGCTTGCAGTCAGTTCTTCTACAAATTCTTCCAGGATTTCACTCAGGAACCTTTAGTAGAGATAGAAGGTAATCTGTTGCTATGATTTACATGACCAAAATACTTACGTTTTGTAATGTTAGTGACAGTGGGCTTTAGTGATACTAACCATTTTGTCAAGACCAAGCTCCATAGTAGTTATGACAGTGTTCCCTCTAAGCTGCATGGCAGCACAGCTTCACAGGTAATTAATCAGCCCTGCCCAGTCAGAGGCTCAGGGCTCCTGTAGAGTAGCTAATGCTGCCAGAAGGAAGTTTCTTTCAAAGATAACATCTGAAGGAACCATTTTTAGTTGAGTCTCATATATTTTCAGTAGTGGTAGACACACAGTGAAGATTGCTGTCTCTCTAAACTTCAGTACCAGCTACTTCAGCAGAAAGGGATTAGCAGCATATCTTCAATGATGAAGATAATGATGTTCTGTTTAATATGGAGGACACAGGGAGGGAGATTCTTTATCAATCTAATTCTCCTTTTGAAAGTAAAGCAAGGATATTAATCTTAATTGTGGCACAAACGTGAAGAGGCTGCATCAGATTCTACTGCATTCAACCATAGACTTTCTGAAACCTGGGAGAACATGTCTTGAAGGTGATTTGCAATAATAAACAGTACATTGTGAACAAAAATCTAGTTTGTGAAAGATTTATCAGCAAATTTTACTTGTTAAACTTATAAAATGTAACAACTAAAATCTGAAGAGTTGCAAAAAAATCAGTGTATATTTATTTCTAAACAGGTGTAAGTAACATGGCGTTTCGACACTTAATTGAGTTCACCTACACAGCAAAATTAATGGTCCAAGGTGAAGAAGAAGCAAATGATGTATGGAAAGCAGCTGAGTATCTACAAATGTTAGAAGCCATTAAAGCACTTGAAATCAGGTAGGCATGTAGATTTTCATTCATCTTCTAGAAATATGGAATTCAATATCTGAAGAAAATTCTAGCTGGGTTTGGTTATCAATATTCTATAGAACTGTTTCTTCTCCTCCTGGAATCTCGGTCGTAGCTGTAGAGTCTTCATCCACCTCTTCTTGCCAAAGTCTGTAGTCTCTTCCTATGATGGTGGGATGGATACTATAAAAGGTAAAATTAAGTCTTAGACTCTGTGAGCTGGAACTTAGATCAGGGGACTTGGCCTGCAAAGCATGAGCAGGTGTGAGAAAAGCAGAGCACACCCTAGCCTGTGCTTTCTTCCTCACTGCTCTTTGGAAGACCTTTTCTGTCTCCATGCATAGAGTTCTCCTGTAATCTTTCCTTTGGCTATACACTGTTTCTCTCTGTATGAGAAGGAAGCCTATGACAGCCACCTACTCTTCATTCTGGAATTCACACAGGGATTTCTGCAAACTTGAGGAACATGAGAACATAAGAACTGCCATACTGGGTCAAACCAAAGGTCCATCTAGCCCAGTATCCTGTCTGCTGACAGTGGCCAATACCAGACGCCCCAGAGGGAGAGATCACAAGAGGTAATTCTCATGTGATCCCTCCCCTGTCACCCACTTCCAGATGTTAGTGATACCATTCCTACCCATCCTGGCTGATAGCCATTGATGGACCTAACCTCCATGAATCTGTTTAGCTCTTTTTTGAACCCTGTTAAAGTTTTAGTCTTCACCGCATCCTCTGACAAGGAGTTCCACAGGTTGACTGTGCTCTGAGTGAAGAAAAACTTCCTTTTGTTTGTTTGAAACCAAATGAACAAATGAGGAGAAGCTCGTGTTCCTTCTTATCTCCCATGAAGGCCTTTTCCTCATTAGATAACATGTTCCTTAACATTTAGCATAATGGAGTGCAGACATAGGCCTATAGTTTTCTATAGTAGTAGCATTACTTTGTTTTAGTTAAAAAAAGCTTTGGTGACACTGCAGATTAGAAGCAGAGTTTTCAACATCAATATTTATTTTCAAATATTTGTCCTTAAATAACCTTAAACTTTGTTGCCAGTAAATATAGGGAAGAAGTATGGTAATCACAAAGATCAGAATCAAGACTGCATAGTTCATTCTTGGATTGAAAAGATGCTATCAGGATTAAAATGCATATTTTAAAAAAAGGGAAAATGTTACTTATATTGCAAATAACTGCTAAGCTTATTTATACTGAAAAAATACAAAGTTAATATTGCTAAAGTAGAACCTCATAGTTATGAACACGAGAGTTATGAACTGACTAGTCTCGTTTAGAACAGGAAGTATGTAGTCAGGCAGCAGCAGAAACAAAAAATAAAAGCAAATACAGTATAGTAATGTGGTAAGCCCAAATCTCTCAAGAAATGAAGGGAAAGCAGCATTTTTCTTCTTCATAATAAAGTTTCAAAGCTGTATTAAGTCAATGTTCAGATGTAAACTCTTGAACAGCCAGTATTGTTTTTGTTCCAAGTTACGAATTACCTCCATTCCTGAGATGTTTGACACTCTGAGGTACTACTGTATTTACAGTTCCTTATTACAATTATCTTACAGTGGAAAATAGAGAATGCAGTTTTGTTTAGGTCTAGTTTCAGGATTTAAGACACTAATGTAATGTTAGAATAATTTGTGTTGCTAAAGTTGCAAGGAAATAACTATTTGCTTTATAAAAAAAAATGCCTGTTTAGTAGTTTTAGAAATATTTTAATTCAACTTGGATTTAGTTTCTCCAAAAATAAGCTTTTTACAACATGAGACGCTTAATTTTACTTGACAATGTCCATTTAATCATGCTGTTTACCCATGTTTAAACAAGTTATTGAGCAATAATAATATTTAATGTTAATAAAGTTGGCTAGAATTTTTCAGATTAATTTTTTAACTGAAAATAGATGATGGGCTACTTTAAAACATTTTGAATAATTCATAATTTTTTTTTTTTTGGCAAACTGTTCCTGATAAAATAAAAAAAAAATGAAACAAACCATTACAATGTCAAAAAGAAGCATTTTTTTCAGGCTACATTCCCCAGAGGATTTAGGCTCAATGATGGAGGTGACATTGTCCTCCCTATGCCATATATTCATTGGAGCAGGGGTGGAACATGGATATCCCCTCTGGTTTTTTTGGGAGGGGGGAGTGAGTTTGTTTGTTTGTTTGTTTGTTTTGCCTTTTATTAAAAAGACCTCCATACAAAATGTTTCTGACTTCAAATTAACTGAAAGTTCTGAGAGGGTGTTTTTTGTTCAACCTGAATTGATATTTTTTCTGAATGTTCAGAATTGCCAAAAGCCCATTCTTTGCACAGCTCTAAATGTTACAATGAGCTGAACTCCCTTGACTTAAATGCAGGAGAAGTGTGGTGAGGGGATGCTACTCACAGCTCTGCTAGAACAGGGGTAGGCAATAATTTTTTAAGGGGGGCTACTTAAGTTTCTGAATTGGTTGCAGACCTCCCCAGAAGGGATGGGGGCTCGGGTGGAAGGCACAGGGCCTTTAAATAGCAGGAGTTGAAAGGGCTTGAGGCTCCCAGGCAATCTGTTAGGTGGCAGGGCTGGGAGCTGTTGCAGGCCAAATGAAAGAGCCAAGTGGGCCAGATCTGACCTGCTGACAACCTCTTGCCAAGGCCAGTGCTAGAACCTGCATTTTTTGAGCCTCAAGTCATACTACAAAGCTCAGGCATTTCTAAGATCTTGGTTTCAAATTTATGTGGATTGTATTAGTTAAATGCTGTATCAAATAAAATGAAGTACATGTATATTCTCAAGTGAAATGTGCTGTACAAATGCATCATATTATGGCTTTAAGCCCTCAGTAACATTTTATATTAAAGGTGAAGGGATGGGTTGACCTTTGCTCTTTACTGCTTTGTAAGAGAGCTGAATACTCTTCCTTATCCTGGCTTCTTACTTGCAGGATGGGCTGCCAGGAACTAGGATTGTGGTAAGGAAGTACCATTTTAACTCTCCACCATGCCAACACCCCTGTGTTATTATATGGACTTAATGCAGGGACATAACCCCTCTCTTCTCAGAGCAACCAAAATAGTTTAATTAGTATACAACTAAGTGTGGACTAGGCCTAGATACTAAGGATGTTAAATTTCGATTAGTTGATAGGACACCTCCACCTTTGAAGTGTAGCAACACTTCAAAAGCTATTGCTACTCTTCAAAGGCGAAAGCGCTATGAGGAGGCCAGGATCAGCAGGGGACTCTCTCGCTGACCTCAGGCTCCGTGTGGTGCTGCCGCTTTGAAATGCGGCGAGAAGCCTGATGCTGGGGCAACTTGCAGCATTTTAAAGCGGCAGTGCCAGACAGAGCCCAGAGTTAGCAGGTGAATCCCCAGCTGATCCCAGGCTCTGCTCAGCGCTGCCGCTTTGAAACGCCGGGCACCCCAGCTGACCCCGTGCTGCATGTGGTGTTTCCAAGCAGCAACGCTGCGTGGCGCCCGGGTTCTGGCCCCAGGTTCCACCTGCTGCTTCCATTTTTAAAGTACCCACTCCTTTCCCCCCCACGCCTTGCTGCCTCTTTCTGATAGAGGCAGTAAGGGGGGTGAGAAGCGACTAGTCGACTCGACTATCCTATAAGCATTTGCTTATCGGGTAGTTGACTAGTTGTTTACATCCCTACTAGATACCACATAAATTTCACCCAGTTCCTATTTTGAGAACTAAAGTCCTTGTGCTGGCACTTTGCATAGGTCTGTATTTCACATTTAGTGCATATTTTTTTAAAAGAGAAAAAGTTACTTATGTTGCTAATAGCTGCTAAAGATTATTCATATGGAAAAAATATAAAGTTAATATTACTACACCAGAATCTCAGAGTTACGAACACCAGAGTTACTAATTGACTTGTCAGTCATGCACAGAGTATAATAAAATGGATTTTGCACTACACGCCTTGCAAACCAGTTCCTACCACCACCATCTCCTGTTGGATTCTTTTGCCTTGTCCACTGGTGTTCATGTACAGCAGCCTGATGTTTCTGGCTCCAATACCTTTGTTCATGGTGCTGGAATGAAGGATGATAGTTTTCACAAGTATCTTCCCAAGTGCAGTGTGTTCTTTTTTTTTTGGGACAAAATGCATGAAATACATAGGGGCTGCGTCTAGACTGGCATGATTTTCCGCAAATGCTTTTAACGGAAAAGTTTTCCGTTAAAAGCATTTGCGGAACAGAGCATCTAGATTGGCACAAAAGCCTCCGGGGCCAATCTAGATGCACTTTTGTGCAAAAAAATCCCAATCGCCATTTTCGTGATCGGGGCTTTTTTGCGCGAAACAAATCTGAGCTGTCTACACTGGCCCTTTTCGCAAAAGGACTTTTGCCCGAACGGGAGCAGCATAATATTTCCGCAAGAAGCACTGATTTTTTTTACACAAGATCGTCAGTGTTCTTGCGGAAATTCAAGTGGCCAGTGTAGATAGCTGGCAAGTTTTTTCCGCAAAAGCAACTGCTTTTGCGGAAAAACTTGCCGGTCTAGACGCAGCCACACAGTAACTAAAACAACTTACTAAAATGGAGAGAAAAGTGGAATTATACTGTTTTCTCAGCATCTCTAGAGTTAAACCTTAGCTCAGATACAAAGAAGGTGGACAATTTTATATGTTTAAAGATATCGCTCTTGTTTTACCACCCTGTCAGAGATTCAGCTTCATGCTTTCTCCAAAGAGAGGCCGACTGAGTTCTCTCTCCTCACCTCTTTTTCATGTATGTAGTCCTAGGATTATTGCCATATTATGTGAGGTGTCACTTTGTTTCCATTCCCCATTGGAGTTTCTCTCCACTGAAACCTCAATTACAGCTTTTTCCAGGGTCTGAGTTTTTTACTAACCAGTGAAGCTGATTGGTTTCTGATGGGCCAGAATGGGTGGAATATTTAAAAAGCAACACCTTGGTCTACTCACTTGATTATAACATCAGGAGAGAGGTCCAGATCCTCCATTATAGACCACACTCAATTAGCTCAGAAGGTTCAAGAAAGGTTTATGGTTTAAGAATTAATTCATTCCTGAATCTATGTTTTAACCATCTGCAGAGAGTTTCAGAACATGGATTCCCTTCAGTTTATTACTAATTTTATTATATACTATCAGATTTACCCAGTGTTGAGTGGGTCCTTCAGGGCAGGGAGCTGGTGATATGGGGGATGCAGGAGTCAGAGCAGAGCCCTGGGAATATCGGGGGGGAGGGGCAGTGCAGGAGGCTGGGAGCAGGGGAAGAGTGAAGGTTGGAGGTAAAGAAGGGGTCAGGGCTGGCAAGTGCCATTTGGCACAAGCCTTTTCTCTCCACCCAGCTCCTTCCCAGCTACCTGGGGCCTTCCCCTCCTCCCCTTTTGGCCCCCCAGCACTGTGGCCAAGGGCTGGGAGAAAGGGGAAGGATTTGGGGCAAGGGGTTACTTATCCAGTATTCTGGCAGGCAAGATGGTAGAGCCCCAGCCCTGCTGGCTACTCCCTTGGGGTTGCAGCTGCCCCCAGCTCAGCAGGATTGTCCTCCCCTGTGGACTCACTGCCCCCCAGTGGCCACTCTTGGTATTGTCTTTCTATACAGCAGCGCCTCCCTTTGCATGTTATGGAAAATAGTCCCTTACTTGGGTCTTTTGGTTGTCTTGGCACAACCGAACCCTGACTTTGCTTTAAGTTAGGAGAAGAGGAAGCTGCTTACCAAATTTGGTGATCATGGATCTTGCCATTTAGGGGGAGTTCTTGAAAAGACTCACAGATAGACACAAACCTCTAATATATAGAGAGAGATTTTAAATGACCTTGTGTAAATTATATATTGCAGGAATTATTGTATCAGTAGTTTTGGAACCTTATTATTTAATATTGCACACACTTTACAGGAATAAAGAAAATTCAGCACCACTAGAATCAAATAAAACACAAGATAAAAGTAAACCCAAAAAGAGGAAGATAGCTGAAACCTCCAATGTCATCACAGAAACGTTGCCATCTGCAGAATCAGAGCCTGTTGAAATTGAGGTGGAGATTGCTGAAGGGACAATTGAAGTAGAAGATGACAGCATTGAAGCCCTTGAAGAAGTAGCATCTGCAGAACAGTCTATAAAGTATATACAGACTACGGGTACGTCAGATGAGTCTGCTTTGGCTCTTTTGGCAGATATCACCAGCAAGTACCGTCAAGGGGAGAGAAAATGCCAGATCCAAGAAGAAGGTGACAATGCAGCTGATCCTACATGCAAACAGGTAGAAGGTATTGAAATTGTGGAACTTCAGCTGTCACACGTGAACAATTTATTCCACTGTGAGAAATGTAACCGTTCGTTTAAATTGTTTTACCATTTTAAGGAACACATGAAAACACACTCCACTGAGAGTTACAAATGTGACATATGCAATAAAAGGTACCTACGAGAGAGTGCATTGAAACAGCACCTCACCTGTTACCACCTTGATGAAGGTGGAGCCAGCAAGAAGCAAAGATCTGGCAAAAAAATACATGTATGCCAGTACTGTGATAAACAGTTTGACCATTTTGGACATTTTAAAGAGCACCTTCGGAAACACACAGGTAACATTTTTGTATTTCTAGTATACATCTATTACTTCAGTTTTGTGTTTTCCTATTTTGTGGGCTTGGGGGATGTAAGAGGGGAGTGTGTGCAAGATTTGTTTCAAATATTATATTTCTAATGCTACATAGAATCATGAGACTAAAGAGTACTAGAAATGCTGGGCATCACGTGACAAAATGTGAATAATCCATTTATATAGCAGTGAATATAAATCTTCGGGAATGCAACTTAAAATATTGACTCACAAATTTCACTTAGCCACCTAGGCTATGTCTAGACTGCAAGCCTCTTTCGAAAGAGGCTCTTTCGAAAGAGAGCGTCTAGACTGCACGCGGAACTTTCGAAAGAGCAAGCCGCTTTTTCGAAAGAAAGCACCCAGTGAGTCTGGATGCTCTCTTTCGAAGAAGCCCTATTTACATTCAAGAACGCCTTCTTTCGAAAGAAGCACTTTCAAAAGAAGGTGTTCTTCCTCATGAAATGAGATTTACCGCCGTCGAAAGAAAAGCCGCGTTCTTTCGATTTAATTTCGAAAGAACGCGGCTGCAGTCTAGACGCAGGTGAAGTTTTTTCGGAAAAAGGCTACTTTTCCCGAAAAAAACCCTGAGTCTGGACACAGCCCTACTGAAAAATAAGCTTTCTAAAGAAATAAATGGAAAGAG